TTTAAGGAAAATTACAGCTGGGGTAGCATTTGATAAATTTAAACAAAGGACAAAGAACTGTGAATGCTAGAAATCTGAAACAAAGACAAAAATTGCTGGAGAAACTCAGCAAGTCTGCCAGCATCTGTGGAGAGAAAGCAGAGTTAACAATTTGAGTCCAGTGACCCTTCTTCAGAGCACAAGAAGGTTCACCAACAATTTCTGTTTTTTTTGGATAATTTAAATCCGTTTTACTTATTATGGCCTACCAGGGGATCATTAGCAGTTTGGTATAATACAATTGAAGTCAACAGCATAACATCCGCAAACAATTACAGATGTAGATATAAACTGATCTCCAGAGCTTTGGAGAGATACCACCAGATTCTTAAAACTATGATTAAGATGTGCTGTCACGAATACCCACAGGATTGGGATGAAAGATTAAATTTCTTATTATTTATTACCAGAGATTTTCAAACAAATCTACTGGATTTAATCAATTTGAATTGATTTAAAGCTATAAGAGATTGATTAAGGGAACGGGAAGACAAATCCAAAGTTATTTTCCAGCACTGACCCTTAATCAGGTGAAGTGACTCACAATACAATGATCACAGGTGATCACAATACAATCTACAGGTAGACTGCAGGTGCATAATTGATCAATTGCCATCTGATGGGTTTTCTGTCACTTGCTAGTAGAGTTGGTGTGTTCCGAACAGGAAATGTACATTAACTTCCCCTACTCTGGGTGTGGTTGCAGCCATTTTCCATTTACTGTTCACAATAGTTAGCACTGCTGCCTCGCAGTGCCAGGGACCCAGGTTTGATTCCATCTTTGGGCAACGGTCTATGCAGAGTTTGCACGTTCTCCCTACGTTTATGTGGATTTCCTCCAGGTGCTCTGGTTTCCTCCCATACTCCAAAGATGTGCAGGTTAGGTGGATTGGTCATACTATAATGTCCAGGCATCTGCAGGCTAGGTGGAAAAGCAGGGTTACAGGGATGGGGTGGGTCTGGGTGGCACAGTCAGTGTGGACTCAATGGGCTGAATGGCCTGCTTTCACACTGTAGGGATTCCAGGATTCAACATTTAAGAGTCATGAACAATATGGAAGACAACACAGCTTGTTCATGAATCGTAAGCTAAACATGGTAATGAAGGGCTCCCCTGAAACTCCATGTCCCTTTCTTCCTGACATTCCTTGGACAGCCAACAGTCCTGATCCTCCACACATTCCCACACACCTAGAATTATGACTGCAACTCTCATCCTTCTCCCCTGAGCCCGTCCCTACAGCTTAGTCCAGCTCACTGTACAGTGCTGCACAGTCTCACTGTAGAGGTCACAGTAGTGATGATTGTCGAAAAAACCCACATCTGCAGTATTCCATCTACTACTGTCTTCATTCCCCCCAACCCCACACACACACAACACACTTTACGTTGAATTTCCCTCCTCTGTATCCCAGGTCATTATCTCCAACACTGCGCATTAAGATTGCCTTCTTCCCTACCAGGCAGTTTCCCCTGGTAACCGCCCCTCCCTGACATTGTTTCTGCACACCTCTAGGACTGACTATGCCCTAGCCCTCTGATCAATTTGGATGGGCTGCCCAGATGATGACTACCTGGACTCCTGATTGATCACCGTGCAGCTCCCCGACCGATGATCCACAAATCCCCTATACTCTGCATGCAGGGACATGATTGGATCTGAACAACTAACCATGGCCCACTTCCCAAATGGTCATGAGGTGGACACCCTGACCCTGTCTGCCCCAAGTAGATGATTGTCCATGACAAACGCTTCAGCTGTATTCACATGATGCCCTAACTGACCGTACCAGGAGCCTCTGACTGATGACAGTGTACCCCCACCCCCTCTTTGACTTGTATGAGGGCTACACTACTTTGACTTTGCGACATGGCCATTGGTTGATGCACATGCAGTGTGCTTGTGGCACAGGCTGCTGGTGCAAGCTGTAGTTATGGGATTAACATAGCTGTGTGTCCTACAGAAACCCGTCCACCCCCTTGACTGATGGCTGCTGACAAGAATGACCAGGCACCTGGTGTTTTGTCTACATTGACCAGCATGGCAAAACAGAAGTGGTGCGAGCCTTTCAGTGTGACTGAGGCACCAAATGGCAAGACAAGGTAGGGATCAATGTTCCTTCTAAGCATGCATATGCGCACTCCAATGCCCTGCTGACAAGGAGGCTGTGACCATCAAAGTAGGCACAAAGTGAGTGAGCACTAAGACAGCAAGAGAGCTGCCCTGAGATGCTCCCGGGTCAAGCATGAAATGGGTGCGCATCCCTGTACACAAAGTGTTCTTACAGCAGTATTCCAATGAAACGTGCTCGTGCACTCCAAAGAGCCGCTTTGAAGTACAGACACATACTGTAAGTGGATTGGAGATGCTCTAGTAATCATGCAGTGAGACCGATATATGCCAGATGCCAAGGTCCTTGGATGTGGGGTGCTTGCGATCACTGCCCATGGTTCGTGCTAGCTGGCCTAGATAGAGGTGTGGAGGAATAGGTAGCAAACTGGAGTCACTGGTAACCACTCTGATTTAGTGATGGGAATTCTTGGCATCGATTTAATCCAGTGGGTGGGAGAAGGGGAAATTACATATTAATGAGGTGAGGTTACATGATAACGGCACAGTTAGGTGGCATGTTGGCTCAGTGATTTGTAGTGCTCCCTCACAATACCAGGGGCCCAGGTTTCATTCCATACTCGGGCAACTGTCTGTGTGGAGTTTGCACATTCTCCCCCTGTCTGTGAGGGTTTCCTCTGGGTGCTCCAGTTTCCTCCCACAGTCCATAGGTTAGGCAGATTGGTCTTGGGAAATACAGGGATAAGGTAGAGGGGGTAGGTCTGGTCAGAGGGTTGGTTTGGACTCAAAGGGACGAATAGCCTGCTTCCACACACTAGGAATTCTTTGATTGAAATTATGAGATGTTAATACATTACTATCTGCCCATGATAAATACATTCCCGAAACCAACAATCTGAGATTGAGCAAATGTGACCATCAGCTGATCATCAAACAAATTAAAAGTAAGATGAATTGTGTGCATTTATTCTATGGAGAAAAGAGAAAGGGTCCTGTTTCAATAAAGACAAGAAATTTCTTTGTTCTCCCAGAACTCTAAAAAATTTCAGGTAAAGCAACTTATTTTCTCAATTGATAGGTATTTAATCTAAAAGTGTATAGCAGCAGGGGATGAATTTAAGTGAAAATTCACAATAATACATCAATAAAAAGGCAATCAGAGAACAGACAACAATCTTCAATGATGTTAATTTGATACAAAGGATAACTATAAAACATAAATATTCTGAACATTTTCTCCAAATATTCACAAGGTTTAACTAACAGCTTTCCACTGTGTAGTTTACCATCACTACTATGACCAATGACTTTATTGTAAATAAGGTAGGTGAGGTGGGGGGTTATCAGATGTAAAACAAAGACTTAGGTATCAATTGTGGTTTATTCCAGACTGCAGAGACTAATGAAGAGAGTTGTCTATGATTATCAATAAGAGGGAGTCACTGAACTCTTGGGGGGGGTCAAGAATGTCACCCCAGGCTAACTTGGTGTTCATAATCAAACGGGATGTTTGAATCGGGCAAAACAAACATATTAAATTTTACTTCCACTCCATGTAAAATTGGGAAATTAATTATTGAGGAGGAAAATTGAGAGCGATGTAAAATATTAAAAATGCCCCTCTCACCGTAAGCCAAAACACAATTGTGAAATCATGAAAAGGGTTCATGAAAATACATCATCAGTCTAAACTGATATTAGAAAGATATAGATAACAAGGTGTAGAGCTGGAGGAACACAACAGGCCAGGCAGC